GGGGGTTGTCGGAAATTTGAAGGTTTTGTCGGAAATTTAGGAGCCTAGCTTTGCCTTTCCGCCACTGCAGTTAATCACAAGATTCTGATGCCTATACAGGTTTCCAATGGCCTCTAGCCCTCTGTAATATAATATTAGTAATTATTATTGTATATAGTTATGATATATTTCGGCAAATTTATTAAATAAAAAAAAATTATTATATATATACAGGACGAAAAGCGTGTCATTAATCAGCTTTAGCAAAGATACTAAAGATATTAAATGTGTGTTTACACCTTTAATAAGCTGACTAAATTAAATAAAAAGTTACATTTAATCGCATTTACTCTGAATAAAAGACCTCTTTTGGAAACTGATACACTTAATTGCATTTAGTGAGGATATTAAAGCGAGTTAAAACCAACATTAAACCGCACATACTTTAATTACCTTTAATGCGCAGTTTAAATGTTGACTAAAGGGGGAAATAACATTTAATCACGTTTAGTTTTATCTTAAATGAAAACAAAAGCTGACACACACTGTCGATAATTTAACAGAATTAGAACTATGCTGAATATTACAGTATAAACATGAAATGTTATACGTTATATCACCTGAATTTAGGCGCTTATATAGACAGCGCAATTCGCTTGGACAGTTGATTCTATTGACATATATAAATATACAAATATAATTTTATCGCCAAAGGCAAAATACCTAAAACAGAAGCTGAGTATATCATTTTTTAGCTATCCAGCTTCAGATAGACAATTTCTTTATTTTGTATATGAACTACATACAATTTCTACATGTATACTTACACACAGCTAGTCGTTCTACACAAGGATCTTTCGTATTTCCACTTTCTCCAATAAAATAATAGGTCATAAATTCATAATACACTGCCCTCGATCGTAGCTGAGATATACGGCCTTGGTCTCGTTCTTAATCTGACTCTTTATTTTATCAGTCGTGAGACGCCTTTGTTTGGCATTTCCAAACCCTTTCTCGGCACAAACTTTCATTACGTCTGTTGCGTTTAAGACGTCGTTCCTCGGTGTAATTTGGTATTGAGACGTCGCTATTTTGTAGGTAGACAATTGACAATTCTGTTCAGCTTATGGAGGCACTGGGATTATAGCTTCCAGAAGGTTGCGCATTCCACTGGTAGCAAGTGCGCCACTCGCTGTGTGGGAATGCTGGTTAAAATGCGCCATTTCAACCGGCTTTGCGCAAGGTATACCACCAAAAGCTTTACAGAATTGAAGGTTGTTGTATTAAACTGTCGCTGCGAGGTTCTATGTAGGTATAATTTGAATGCTATATTCCCGCGCGCGCTATTTTAAACTTTTCCCGGCCGGGTAACTGATCCCCTGTAGGCTGTGTAATAAAACCTCGATCTAACGGTGTAAACATAAGCCGTTTACGATTATAGAAGAACTATGGATGGAATCAATTTGCGAATTACTCAATTATATGTTAACAAGCCCAATTTTTGCTTTGCTCGTTGCTTTTTGGACGAAGGCGGATTTGATTTGTACGTGAGTGACCTCCCTAGTGTACAGAAGAAATCCGATACTACGAAAGATTCCTACTGTGAACAATAGTTCGAAGTCCAATTCCCGTTGCTTTTACAACAAGATGCCTACTCAGGCGTTCACACTGACCTGAAAATGATGACATGCGCGCTATGGTGGAAGGAAACGAAGGCTCTGGGATAATCCGTTTCAGGGAGTAATCTGATTGGCCGTTAATATGCTACGTACTGCGCGAATTTTAATAATAACATTTAGCTCGACGCGAATTTTAACTAGTATCATATTTCATAATATAATGAACAATGTAAACTAGCCAATTCTTCTCACCTACATGTCGACAATATACCTTAATACATGTATTAAAATTCGCGCAGTAGCTACTAGAGTTCGAGCAAGTAGTAAAGATAAAGCTTGCATTCAAAATACCAAGACATTTATTGCATGGTTCTCATTTGCCTAATACAATAACATTTAGTTCACAATAATCATAATATAAACAAGGAATAGTCGTTCGATTTGGCTATACTGTTTGCTCGTTTTGAATGTATATTGATCGATTTCAATTATTATTATTTATTATTATTATTATTTAAACATATTTATCCACGGTAACCTTTCAGTTGCCTGTTTTTCAAAGGGCCGTGGTCTAAAACTATTAAAAAGATATAAAACTAAATCTAAACCTAAAGTATAACACACTAACATTAATTCAAATTGAAGTATAACATGCAAACGACCTTACAATGCAAGTAAACATTCGATAAAATTTCGGGAAAATTTCGCTATCTTAGCAATTTTTAATAAGCCTTTTGAACTGATTCAATGAAAGATGCTCATGTTCCTCGAGAATTTCGTTTGGAAGTTTATTCCATGACACTGCTGCGCGGTAGGAAAAACTTTTCTTAAGGAAGTTAGTGTTTGGTTTTGATAAGTGAAGTTTTCGTTCGTTACTTCTCAATGCATAATTATCGTTCTGGGACATAGTAAACATTTCTGTTAAATATTTTGGTGTCATTTTGTTAATTGCTTTAAATGTCATTGTTTGTTCACGTTGTTCGAGGATATTTGCAATGGGCTCCCAATTCAATCTATTTAAGATCTCTGTTGATCTTATTTCATACCCTGAGTTAGTGATAACACGTGCTGCTCTTTTTTGTAATTTACTTAATTTGTCAATGTGGGTGATATTTCCGTTGTGCCAAACTGTTGAGCAGTAAGTGAAATGTGGTAGGACTAGTGAATTGTACATTGTAATAAGGGCATTTTCTGTCAGAAAACTTTTTGCTCTTCTCAAAAGTGCAATGTTTTTTGAAATTTTTGCACATTGATTATCTATATGGTTATGCCAATTAAGTTGTTCGTCAAGAACCACTCCTAGGAATTTTTTGTTAGAAACTCTCTTTATCATATGATCTCCTATTAATATGTCAGGATCTGAATTTATTTGATTAAGCCTTTGTCTCGAACCAACAACCATATATTCTGTTTTCTCAGCACTTAAAGTTAGTTTGTTAGCTAATAGCCAATTATGAACACTGTTCAAGTCTGAGTTAATTTTTTGTTGAATGTCAGTTGCTAATTTTCCGTCACAGGATATATTAGTGTCATCTGCAAACATTGATGCTTTTGTAGACCTTAAGCAATTTGGTAAGTCATTGATGTAAAGTAAGAAAAGCAGTGGTCCTAGATTTGAACCCTGAGGGACTCCGCAAGTAATTGTAGCTCTATCTGATATTTCGTGATTAATTTTGCAAACTTGCTTTCTCCCTCTCAGATATGAAATAAACCATTGTAATGCTTTCCCTCGTACTCCGTAAAGCTCTAATTTTGAAATGAGTATGTTGTGGTCCACAGTGTCAAATGCTTTTTTGAGATCAAGAAACAGTAGACCATTAATAAGGCCCTGGTCCATATTTACAAGACATTGATTTACAGAATATAAGAGTGCAGTCTCTGTGGAGTGTTGAGTGCGAAATCCAGATTGATTTGTGGATACTATCTGGTGAAATTCTAAAAAATTATTTAGTTGCCTAGAGACCAGCTTTTCAAAAATTTTTGCTACTGCTGATGTTACTGAGATAGGTCTGTAATTATCGCAATCCATCTTGTCCCCTGATTTGTAAAGAGGGGTTACCTTAGTGTGTTTCAAATCGTCTGGAAAAATTCCAGTATCGATAGATAGATTAAAAATTTGACTTAAGGAGCCGATAATGGTCTCCCCGGCTGCTTTTAATAGTTTGTTTGAAATTTTATCCAAACCTGTTGATTTCCCGGCTTTTGCTTTAAATATCTCGCATCTTAATTCATCCATTGTTATATTATTTAACTCGAATACCTCAGTCACTGGTGTCACGTAGTTAAGAGGGTCGGTATTGTTGCAAGATAAATTCTCACTCAATTTTTCACCAATTGTAGAAAAATAATTGTTGAATGCTGTTGCAATATTTTTGTCACCAGTAACTATACTATCCCCAACTTTTAATTCGTTAATTAATGTGGACTTAGATTTTTTGTTCAATAGTAAATTGATTGTTCTCCATCCTTCCTTACTGTTCGTAGTACTTTCTAGCTTGTTCTTAAAGTATATAGCTTTAGTATCTTTAATAAGATTGTTAACACGATTTCTGCAATTCTTGTATAGTTCATGATATCTTGTCGAATTATGTTTAATTGCTTTTCTCTTTAGAAAATCTCTATGATAGCTCATATTCTTAATTTCGTTTGTCATCCAAGGGTTATATTCACTTTTTACCTTTCTTTTTAGTAATGGGGCATGAATGTCAGCAATTTCCAAAAATATTTCCTTCCATGTGCACCAGGCAGTATTTGCATCAGTGCAATTGTAAAACAAAGTTGAGTTAAGTGCTTGGTTAAGGTCTTGCTGGAAATTGTTAATGTTAAAGTGCTTGAATTGTCTTGTTTCTACTACTTTAGGTTTTGCTTTTGGAATACTAACCTTTCTGCATGCATAAACCAGGCTGTGATCACTAATTCCGAGGTGAATGACCCCTGATTCAATGATTTTTGTGTCGCCTATTTTTGTGATAATAATGTCTAATAGAGTTTTAGTTCTAGGAGTAATTCTTGTCGGGCTAGTGATTAACTGTTGTAGTTGGTATTCATTTATTAACTCAATCAATTTGTTTGTATGTTGGTTATTATTTTCAGTTGACAGAAAATTGCAATTAAAATCACCAGTTATAACAAAATCTTTGTCCTCTTCATCAATGTTCTGTAAAAATTTTTCAAAATGGACAAGTAATTCTATCTTGGCATCGGGAGGACGATACCATGTTGAGATCAGTAGAGGTTTGCTGTTAGGCTTGTTAATTTCAATACAAATAGCTTCTACTGTACTTGAAAGTAAGTGATTGCAAATAGTGTAGGGAATAACATTTCGTATATAAATTGCGACACCCCCACCATTTCGATTTCGGTCTTTCCGAATAAGATCATAACCTGTGATATTAACTTCGTTGTTGTCAATAGTGCCGTCAAGTCTAGTTTCATTGATACTTAATATGTCAAACATTTTATCGTTCATAAAAATTCTTAGTTCATCAACATGCTTATATAGACTTGCAACGTTTAGATGGCCAATTTTAAAGCCTTTCAGTTTTGGATAAGGCGTGCTGTTTATTTGCATTGTTTGTCGTGAACTAGACTGTGTGTTTATTTGATCTACGATATGCAAAAATGTTGAATCAGGATCCGTAGTGTTTGAAAACTCAGGATCTAGTCAATGGCTGCTAAGAAATTGTCTTATGTTTTTAGCTAATGTAGTAGTTCCATGTTTATTTAAATGTAGACCAGAGTTATTTAAAAGACTTCCTTTAATGTTGTTGTGTTTAATAAGTCCCCAGCCCTTATCTGTACATAATTTAGCGAGCTCGGCATTGACTACATTTACCTTTTCTGCTAAGTTTGGATCATCAGTTCGAGTTATTATTTCCGACCATATAAGTTCCAGATCGTTGTTCTGTCTATGGATCGTTTCACCAAGATCATTCATTGCATTTATTAGATCTTCTGGTGTTTTGTTATGTAAGTCGTTGGTTCCAACATGAAATATAAGTGTCTTTGGCTTGGTAATTAGAGTTGGTACTGCATAATGCTTCATTTGGTCAATACCTGCACCAGGAAATGTCTTAATCGTTACTTTTCCTTTCTTCAATCCATTCTGCATTCGTTTGGTGTCCAAATGTTTAATCATCGAATCTCCGAGGATAGCTATTCTAGGTTGACTACGTTGTGAGTCACGACTTGACTCATTAGAATTTGATGGACCACTGCTTTTTCCAACCATTCGATTTACATATCAGTCTGCTCGATTCGAGTAAGTGTTGCCCGATTTCTATCATTGGTGATTTGGTGTTCGACTTATAACTATTGGACCTATTGAATTTTGACAGTAAAAACGCGCCATATAGGCTATAATACATGTATTAAAATTAGCGCAGTAGCTACTAGAATTGGCGCAAGTAAAGATAAAGCGTGCGTTCAGTGAAATACCAACAAGAACTAAGACATTTATTGTATGGTTCTCGTTTTCCTAATACAATAACATTTAGTTCACAATATAATATAAACAAGGAAAAGTTAAAGGTTTGGTGTTTGACTACACAATGTCGGCACTATACCTTAATAGTGTGTATTAGGCAAATGAGAACCTCAGAACCATACAATAAATGTCTTAGTTCTTGTAGGTATTTTGAAGGCACGCTTTATCTTTAGCATAGCTACCACAAAGCGTTTGGCGCACCAACTAGTAGCTACTGCGCGAATTTAAGGTATATTCTCGACATTGTGTAATGAAACTGTCAAACCTTGAACTTTTCCTTGTTTACATTTTGTTTATATTATATTGTGAACTAAATGTTATTCTATTAGGCAAATGAGAACCATACAATAAATGTCTTAGTTCTTTTTGGTATTGTGAACGCTCGCTTTATCTTTACTTGCGCGAATTCTAGTAGCTATTGCGCGAATTTCAATACATGTATTTTAATATGGTCAAACCTTTAACTTGCCCTTGTTTATATTGTATTGTGAACTAAATGTTATTGTATTAGGCAAATGAGAATCATACAATAAATCAAAATAAACTGTAGAACCTTTAACTTGTCCTTGCTTATATTCCACTATATTGTACAAATTCGCGTCGGGTCCAAATTTTGGGGTTTTCGAGTCGTTTAATACAACATATTGTTCTACAACGTATATTTATAGATAGTTGTTTATTAGTTAAAAAGTCAAACTGTCGAACCTTTAACTTGTCCTTTGTAAAATTCGCTGGGTCCAAATTTTGAGGTTTTCGAGTCGTTTCACGAAGAAAAACATATTAATTCAACACGCAAGAAAGTTCAGAGTGCGACACAACGTAAAATCCATAGGAAACCGGTGTCCCAGGATTTTCGCCCCCCCCCCTACATTTTCGCCCTCCGGGGGGCGAAATTCCTAGGAATTTCGCCCCCCTTTAGGAAATTCGCCCCCCTTTAGAAACTTCACCTTTTCTTTAGGACTGTCGTCCTCCGTTCAAAATTAATTTCGCCCTTCCTAACAGTTGCATGGGATAACGATTACATGGCTTTAATCATTTGAAATCAGTATCAATTCAAAATTGTTAAGACAGAGCTTGAAATAACAACCGATCACCGATCAATGATCGGCAAGGAATTGCTCATGATCGGCGGAAAAGCAGAGTTTCGGTTTCTAACCTGAAAAAAGCAGGGAAAGTCGCGACTGCCGATCACCATGGTCGGGAACTTTGGGAACGTTATTTCAAGCCCTGCATGTAAGAATACAAATTTACAATTACATGTATCGAAAGGGCTTTACACAGTTACAGTAGATGAATACTCAATAGGACTTATGACGCTTCACAGCACACCATGCATATTTTGCATTTTCAGTGTTAATCCTTAAACTCATTGTTAAAAAGTAATCACCGTGGTGGTTATTGTAATTATTGGTATATGTTTTGCATCCACGTTTTGTCGTTATCGGAAAATGTATGGTTTGTCACTAATTTTTACTTGCATTATTTCAATATAGTTTATAAATCTCAGAACTGCAGGGCCGTCGCGAGCGGGGGGGTGTGGGGGGGTGCTTCACGAAGCAATTTGCGTCGGCAAATTGCTTCGTCACTGTTCGGCAAATCGCGAAATCGGCATTTAGCCAATTATAAAAGTGAAGAACGAAGGCGAGAGATAAAGCGATAAATTGTGGATTTAAAATGCCAAAATGTGGCCTTATGCCAAAACCACCATGGTCTAAGTATTACTAGTAATAGTATTTGTTTTTTATTTGTCGAAAATCGACGGGAGGCTGAAATGTGAAACCCATGGTTTCCGGCTAAAAAAACAATAGTTCCTAATCCTCAGGCATGTTCTTCGCTAGACTGCTCTTATAGCGAAGGCTTTATATCAATTATGCGCGGTTCAAAACCCAAAAGAAAAAGGATAAAACTTCAGTGTCTTGAATGCAATTCGATTTTTGATGACGATTACCGTAAGAGGCACGAGCAAACTTGCCATCAGGGAAAGAGAGTGCGAGTAGCACACAAAGATGCACCGGCTAATCCGTTTGAGGCTGCAAAGCGCGCTCAAAGCCAAAGAGAGTATTTTGACTCGTCAGAGGCGCAGGATCCTCAAGAAGACTCCAGAGGAACAAGAGAAAAAGACCAAGAGAAAGACGAACCATGGGGTAAGAACGGACTTGTCTTCTTTTAGTTATTTAGCGAAATTACTGTTTTGAAAGACATACCGCTTACAGAGATCGGTATCATCGGTTGCATATCCGTTTTACTCGCTCTCTGACGCATAAAATTTAAACGTTTGGAAAATCGGGTCGTACAAAAGCCCAGTTAGCACTAGGCCACTAGCCACCACTAAGTAAGAGTGTTTTAAGACTGCTCAAAATACAAAAAAAGTATATAAATCGTCTATTCGGCGCCTGGGGTTAGAAAAGGTCAAATTCATGAAATTGCTATGAAAAGATTGAAATAAAATATCAATGAATCACAGATATTCGGATAACTTTGCTGACTTTGCGGAGATGCGCGTCTGCACCACATGCTAAGACACTCGTGACTCAGACTATGTCCACGGTAACGTTTTCGAGCGTTTTTGGTTGTAATGCGTTTCTGAAAGTACCGTTTTCACGTTCTGTTTACACGAAAACGTATGAAAACGACGCCATGCATTAAGCAAAAACGTTTCAAATAGTGGAAACGATGCCAAATGTTTGTTTCTATGTCTGAAATATTTTGAAATTGGTCGTTTCGGCACTTTGTTATAGTGTAAACAGGAAAGTGGCAGGCGAAAATGAAAAGCTGCGTTTAAATTTGGAAACGAAGACTAAAAACTAGTGCTTTGTCAGAAATTGTTGCGAGAAAACGATCATTGTGAACAACGCGCCTCAACGCTCAAGTTGAAAACGCCATTGCAAAAACGTGTGCACATACAGTGTCTCAGTCTCATACATCGTCTCATGCATAGTCACATACAGAGTCACATACATAGTCTCAATCTCGATTTTGGACCTATTTAAATTTTGGACCTATATAAACTATGTTAAATTTAAATCTTTTTCAGCTTTATATGTTTAATATAAATAAATTAAAATAATACTCCTAATTGAAAACAAATACACAAAAATAAAATACTGTTATTAGGACAGATTCATATTGAGCTGTGGTTCCAGTTATTGTTCGCGTGCTTCGATTTCGTTACTTTATATATGTTTGTTCTTAGAATGTCATATTTTATATATAAAGAAACTTGCTTGCTTTGTAGCAACAACCCACGAACAGGCATCCATTTCAAAACAGGAGCCAAAGTTGTTAAACCCAAAGAAGAACCCTGCTCCAGAGATCCATGCGTCAACTAGCAATCTAACCATCGCAGATATCATCTCAGAAAGTGACATTTGTATCTCGGAAAATCACGATTCGACGGATTCGTGTTACGCGTCAGAAATTACAGATTCTACCACATTTCCTGTTATTTCACATTCTCCTACCTTTCCTGAAACTACAGATTCTCTTTCCTGTCCCGAAGTTACAGATTCTCCTACCTTTCGTAAAGATTCTTTTAATTCTGAAAATGCAGATCTACAATCCGAAATCAGTCAGAAATCATATTGGAATGATTGGATCGAATCTGTTGCAACCTTGTCTTGCATTTCCAACTATGTTAATGAGTGTCAAACACTGGTAAATGATGCAAGGAAGGCAGACATTCCCAATATAGAACAGTGGATCGAAGAAGCTAAGAACACTGTAACACTGATACAAGAAAACTGTGGAAGATTTGTTGAAAAATCCGACACTATTCTTCAAGATATCCAACGGATGAAGCTCAAAGTTAACGACTCTAATCCTGGTCAAGTTTCTGTGGAACATGATCCAGCTCTACGTAGTGAGGTCCGCGACGACAATCAACGAGAGTACTTGGTTGAACTTGGACCTTTTCAGCCGAGGTTACCTTGTTTCCCAACCAACCCAGATATACCTCAGGGGAAGCAGAATCGTTTTTCACCACGATGGTATGACGAGTATCCACATTTGGAATACAGCGTGGAGAAAGATGCTGTTTTCTGTTTCGTGTGCTCATTATTCGACGACACACCTTCAAAGGAGAAGGCAGACCCCAGCTGGAAAACTACAGGCGTTAGAAAATGGCATAAGATGAAAAGTGTTGGTAAGAGCAAACAGGGAAAACTGGTCCAGCACTTCTCCTCGCAAAGTCATAAGGCTTCTCTCGGTGCATACTGTCACTTCTTGCAGAGGACAAAGCATATCGACATCCAACTGGATAAGGAAAAAAAGGCAGCGCAAATTCAAGAAGCTCAAGATTTGGAATATAACCGCCAAATCATTCTTATCCTCCTGGACATCGCAAAAACCCTTGCTCGCCAAGCTCTTCCCTTCAGAAGCGACAGCAATGAAGACGGTAATTTTTAATCAATTGGTCCTTTTGCTCAGCAGACATGTACCAAACTTAAAACGGTGGCTAACTGAGAAAAGGCTGAACCCGTACCACGTCACCTACTTAAGTCCTCAGTCATGTGCGGGTATGTTTTCCGTTATGGCAGATACTACTCGGGACGAAGAGCACACGGACAGACTCTCCGTTGTTCTAAGATATGTCAGCGCCACTGGAAAGCCAACTGAAAGATTGCTGGATCTTTCGAAGACGAAGGACAAGACAGGTATTGGACAAGCACAAGACATCCTGTCGACGATAAAGCGGTGTGGTTTGAATACCGATAGCCTGTGTTTTCAGTCATACGACTTCGCCGCCGCAATGTCTGGTGAATTCAATGGTGCCCAGGAGAATTTGTCCGAGCTAGTTGGACGCCAGATTCCTTACATACCATGTCAAGCACACCACTGCAACACCGTAATTGAGCATAGTTGTAACGCAAGTGCCATTGTCCGGGAAATGTTTGAGATACTGCAGGCACTTTATGTATTCTTCACATCTAGTACGAAACGGTTCCAGCCACTGAAAGATGAAATTACCGAGAACTGCCTAATGCTCAGAAACCTGTCCAAAACCCGGTGAAGTGCAAGGGCGGAGAGTATTCAAGCTGTCTGGACATCATTTGAAGTGATTCTGGATGTCTTATACGCGGTTACCAGCAAAGCAGATGCAAAAACCAAAACGCAAGCACTTGGTTTAAGGAAAAAAATGCTTTCGCTTGACTTTGTTGTTGCACTTATGTTCATGAAAAACATTGCGTATAAAACGAAAAGTCTGGTGGTGGAGCTGCAATCAGTTGAGCTCAATATTTTGGATGCAACAGGCCTTGTTGATGGAACGCTAAGCATCATGCAAAAGTTACGAGATGACGACAAAATGATGGACGATCAAATTGAAGCATCCGTAATCTTCGCCAAAAACATCGAAATTGACGCAGAAGCAGATTTCAACCGTCATAATCGCCCAAGGAGAGCACCTGGACGCGTGGATGAGCAAGCCGGAACAGCCACCAAGTTTTCACTTCGAGCTTACTACAGAAATCACTTTCGCAAGGTCCTTGATGTTCTAACATCCCGAATGAGAGAACACTTGGTGCAGTGTAAGAAATAATAGCATTTTGCCTTTGTTAAAGTGTTTGAAGCCACCAATCAATGTATCGTGCATTCATTCCGCTGTCTCATTATTTCCACCTGCACAATCACCTGACCCATTAGCTGCCTAGAAGCCGAATTACAAGTACTGGCAGAGTTATTACCTTCCGACGTTGGCAAAGACTATAACAAGGTGGTTGAAGTCAGCGAAGCCAACAAAATGTCCCTTCCATTGCAAATTCGACAGTCAGATTGATGCTTACGGCTCCTGTGACTGTGGCTTCAAACGAACGTTCATTTAGTCAATTGAAGTTTGTGAAGAACAAACTACGTACGTCAATGAACCACTCAAGGCTGACTGGTCTTATGCTTTTAACCTGCGAGAAAGACCTTACAGACACTCTTGACTTGGAAAAAGTTGCAAAAGAGTGGAGCCTGTTGAAGAAGAGACGAGTTCGTATACACTAAAACTTGCAAATGGCGAACGTATCTCGATCGAGTATCGATAAGTAATACGTTTGTAATATACTCTAAATGTACTGATCAAATACTCTAACAATTAAGAGTGGACTAATATACTTTTAGCTAAACAGTAATTTACAAGGAAAGTACGAACAGACGGAAGAGTGTTCTAGCTATATATGATTTAGTTTCATTTATATATCCACATATTTATTTTTGAGGGAACAGTATATTAATAAATAATTCCTGGTGTGTACAATACGCATAGTATATATTTGTACATTAAATAATGACTCATCAATGGTCGCGACATGCACACAATGTGGCATAAAGTTAACAAAATTTTGGAAAAACTCGGCAAATTCAACTAGCGTCACTCGGCAATTTGATCTTCGACACCCCCCCCCATCCATATCCCTTCGCGACGGCCCTGGCCAGAGCAGTGCGAGCACACCGCGCAAAGCCGCGGCCACGGTATCAAATCATGTATGTAACGGGAATCAGTCTTGCTTATTTCAGTCTAATAAAGTCTTATTTTTTTCTTTGATAATGTACGCAACATGCTGCGCGTTTTACATTTAACAAAATACAGAAATTTTGATTTTATCCGCAAGTTTTTAAAGCTAAATTAAACGATATGTATATGATTACAATGCGTGCATTATGTATTACGGCTGAAAAGTGTAACTGAGGTATTCAGGTATCATATTCTGTCAAAATAACAGCCTAGCGCGCTCGGTTGGCAAATAGCCCAACATCGCACAAATCATTGCACATGAAACGTTTGTCTATCTTTAAGGACCACGAAGTCACGAACATATATTAGGAGATATAAAATAGCAAAATTTGAGGCTCGAGCGTTTGCCACTTACAGTGTAGAATTTGTAGCTCGATATGTTATATCAGACATATGCGATCGACATAGTTATTCTAGTCGCGACGTTCGTGATAGGGACTATAACACTTCCAAAGCTAATAAACCTATATCCTATAACTTAAGACATTTTATCATCAAACAATACATCTTTAGATTTATTAGACTATACAAAACGGAAACATTTACTTGTTATGAGATTTGTTGCGTTAAATTTTCCTGTACGTATATATCTAGCGCATAAAAGGAAAAAGTACGAAAAAAATATTAAAAATAAAAATAATATTTTCGTGAAAAAAATGCGTTTTTAGCACATTTTATGACCCACGACTTTACCTACGACTTTACCCACGACTTTACTCACGACACACGACTTTTAACCCACGACACACGACATATAGGGACACTCAACTTTTTTTGTTTTTTTGTGCTATTTTCTAGTGTTCTTGTCTGGCTATTTTCATGCCTAATCTTATTATACTACACTAATTAATTTAATTTCCTTTTTGAAATTATGAATCACGAAAAAATTGTCAACAAATCCTGATTTATTATTATTCCTACATACGCAAAATTCTTACATATATAGACTATAGAGACTATATGCATGTTTCGTATGTGTATACTATACACTTTTAGGCCTGAAAACTACTATATATTGCGCATAGTTGCGTTTAGAGTAGAGAGGTGACGTAAGTCCCAGGTTGGCTGTGTTATGCATAGCTATAAAAATATCGCCGCATGTCTCCGGTATAAACTGATTGTCTCTAGAGTTAAAAAGTGCAAAACCGCTTTAGCGTCTTTGATTTTGTTAGTATGGAAATCGACAAAATTTGAAACGCTAATAAACACCAAGGTGATCTATTTTGTTTCTGCTTATGCATGCATGCATCTGGATAAATGCGTGGTTGTTTTTTAATTCTGGTTCAGTGTACTGACGTTTTTGTATAGTGATCACTGCTTTATACCAATCTGTTAGTCAGATTCGTTGAAACGGTGGGCGAATACCGTTCAAACGGTTTCTTAATTTCGTTCGAACGGTTTGCAAAAACCGTTCGTAAAGGCGTTAAATTTTTTGTCTTCATCCGTTCGTATTTTTCACTCAAAACGTCTAAAACGTTTTGAAGATCCGTTAAAACGATTTGACAAAACGTTTACTATAGATAGATAGATAGATAGATTTTATTTTGACACGCTAACTACGTCAATTAAAAACATTGATTTCCACGAAGGGCGTGTGTTCAAAAGTTATTATATATAAGTGTTGTTATGACTCTTATGGAATCAAATAAAAGAAAATAGAAAAAAATCTAACTGTTCCAATTGACAAAATTGACAGTATAGACAACTAACAAAACATATAGATAACTATTTACAATAAAGGATATATGTATGTATGTATGTATGTATAAATATATTATTTAGAAACATGAGCATCAATTTTACTTTCAAATAGAGACTGGGACCTAATTCCTCTGATTTCTTTAGGCACTGAGTTCCATATTTTTGCCCCATTAAACATAAAACTCTTTTTCATGCTATTTGTGCGGGGCTGTGGCAAAACGAGTGTTGTTTCATTGTCACGGAGACAGTAATGCGTATTCTCATTCTTGTAGGTAGAAAGGTCTGTTAGGCTTTTAGGCCCAGACATATTCAAAATTTTGAACATTAATTTTGCCTTAGCTTTAGTTCTTTGTACTTTTAGTATCTCCCATCCTAACGAATTTAATGCGATTTGGGCATTAACTTCGTTACCCATGTCCATAATAATTCGAGCGCATCTATTTTGAAGCTTTTGTAATCGTTGTGATTGAGTTTCACCAAAAATGTCCCACACTTCACAACAATAAGTAAAGTATGGTTGTACAATTGCGTTAAATATAGAAACAAGTGTATCACGGTCAACAAATTTTTTTAGTTTTCTAATAACAGAAATGGCCGATGTGATTTTCTTACAGATACTCTCAGTGTTACTTTTCCAAGAGAGATGCTGATCAACTATTACTCCTAGTGTCTTGCATTCCTTCACTTGTTTAATTGGTCTGTTTTCAATCATTATGTTTAAATTTGAATCTGAAACAGTATGCACAAGAGATCTTGATCCTATGAGCATAAATTCAGTTTTGGCAATGTTTAGACTCAGTTTGTTCGCGTTTAACCACATTCTGAGGTTTTCCAAATCAGAGTTCACTGCATTTTCAACATCATCAATTGTACCACCGGAAGCAGTGAGG